ATTTATCCAAATAAAAATAATGTGTTCTAAAAAAATAATAATAATGTGTTCTGCCAGGTAATGCCAGTCATCGGATTCTGTGAGAGCAGCTTCTGCAGTACCTCGTGCAGGTGCAGGGCCCTGTGGGCAGCACACACTGCTCCAGGCAGGAGGGGCTGGGCAGACCTCCTCGTTCACCTTGGCCAAGTGGCCTCATGGCCACGCAGCAGCAGGATCTCCTCTCTGGGAGGCGTTCAGATCAGAAATCAGGCGTGCCTGCACAAGGGTACCATGAGGAGAGCCTGGTGCTTATCACAGGAGGACACTGTGTGAGCTTAAGCAATGCGCTCAGCACTGCAGCACTCCGGAGACCTTATTTTCTTAAGTTTTCCATAAGGAATGGCAATGATCGGATTGCGGAGGATTGCGGAGGAGTGAGATCAAGGTGAATGACGCTCGCTCGTGTGGTGCCATGTGCCCTCCCTGTCTTCCGCTCGCAGTGAGGCTATTCTCAGAATCCCAGCCAGCCTTCCAGGGTGCTCCTCAGGCACTTCTTAAACCCTCTTTGTACAGGGTTGGGGAACTGGGACAATGACACTGAACATACGTTACCTCTGGAGAGATATTGGAAATTTTCCTATAATGTACTTTTCTGAAATTTCCAATCTCCCATACAGTAGTCTTCCCTGATTCTGGGGAATCTGTCTCCGGACCCCTGGAGGATGCCTGAAGCCACAAGCAGTAATGAACCCTCTAATGCTGATGCTGCTCGACTTACAGGGATGAATCCCTCATAAACTGAAATACTGAAAACACTTCAGAGGCCTAACCCACAGGCACCATTGCTTGGACTTGCCTGTTTCAGGCTCACAGAACACTGGCACCAGCCAACAGTTGAGTGATGCCATCGAACGCGATGCCTCCTCCATTAAGGGGCTAACTTTGCTAAGTCACTACTAGTAAGTAAATTAAGGGTCCTGCACACAAGTCCTGCAACACAGTGGCAGCTGATAACCGAGCATCTACTAGCGACTCCCACAGGCGGAGGGTGACTCCCATACCTGCTGCAACAGAACAGGGTGGCACAGGTCTCAGCACACTCCTCTGAGCTGCATACATTTTCAGACTTACAGAACGGGATACTTCTGGCCTCTTCCACCCGGTGTTTTCAAACTTCAATTGACTGCAACTGAGATGGTGGAAGAGCTGCCCACCTTCTTAAACATACGAACTGTTTATTTCTAGAAGTCTCCATTCAATATATTTGGAGCTCAGCTGATTGTAACAGGAAAGTGGAATCATGGACAGGGCACTACTGTAATCTACAAGTGTGACCTTCATATTCAGAACTGACCAAAAGCAAAGACTGCGCATTCTAAGACAGGCTGCTCACCTGCAGAACACTCCACCTTTGAAATATTTTCACATTTTCCACCTCAAGGTCCTCTTTTTATCATTCAACTGCTATTGAAACGCTTAAAATTCTGGGGTGCCCTGTGCTACAGATCGAAGGACAGAGTAAGAATGCAACTATTTTAAACTCTCCTAGGCCTTCAGCATCTTACAAGTTTAGAAGAGTGAAACTCAGAAGGCACTGGAGCGAGAGAACTGTGCTTCGGAGAGGGCCCACCGTTTGTGCACAGGCGCCCATGAGTCAGGAGCTAGGTGGAGATCTAAGCAAAAGTTTGTCCTCCCAAGCCCAGGCTGCTTTCCCACTGCCTCTCTGCAGCAGGCTGCTGCATCATTGGGTGGTGCCATGTGCTACAGAACCAGTTAGACTTCGAAATGCTGACAAGCCAAATACCCAGTCTGCATCTTCATTTTTAACCCAAATAATCAGACCACTGCCGTGTTCTCACTTCATTCATATATATAACACTGCCATTTGTTGAGCACGCTTTGTGCCGGTCTGCTCTCTGCATTGGACCTTTTCTGGGGTGGGGGTTTTGGGAGTGCCTGTGTCACTGAGGTCACTAGGGCACACAGCACAGCTGCGCAGGGCACGCCTAGGGAAGTGACAGCCTGAACTGTAACCTAGCTCAGTCGGGTCCAGGATCCTGCCACACTGACAGGCCTCCTTCCTAAGGCAGTCGCTCAAGCTTCAGGTTCAAACTACACGCCAACTACCATTCTGTAGCTGGTAATGTGGGTCAGATACACAGCCTGCACCGCACAACCACAACCCAACTTCTAGCCACCTCCACCACGTCCTGTCCCAGCCTTCTGATGCATGTTCCCGTCAGGCTTTCAAAGCCAGAGAAGCAGATCTCCAACTCTGCACTCCGGCAAGGCCTGTCACCCAACTCAACACCATCAACGCTCCCCTCCTCAATGGCTCTTGCACAGTAAGCTTGGACAAATCCATTCCCCCTAAATTCTCATCTGGGCTAAGAAGTTTGAAAGGGGCAGGGCATGATGGTGCACACCCCGTACCCCCGGCATGGTGGGAAGCTGCAGCAGGAGGGTCACAAGTTGGAGCCTGGGCCACTCACTATTGATCTTGGCTAGGGGTGTAGCTCGGCACAGAGGGCCTGGGTTCGATCCCCAGTACTGCAGGTGGGGGTGGGGTGTTCCAAATGTTATTCTGAAGACAAGAGAGTGTATACAGTGTGTGTAAAGTAACTGACACATAACAGGTACACTGTAATTAAGCAGCTTTTATTACTCTTCCAACGTTCCCAATTAGCTGTTGACTAGTTGCAAGCACCTGCTTCAGCCTCCCAACAGCAGGATCCCTTACGTGCGTTCCACTCTGACACTTTCCCTTCCCCAACCCTGCCCGTGCGTCCACATCCAGCAGATACTCTGCATTTGCCAGTACATGAGGAGCACCAAACCAAAGGCCACGGAACCAGGTGGGCACAGGAATCACAGGGCACTGCGGGCAAACTGCAGTGCAGCTGGAGTTGTCGCCACGTGGCAATGCAAGTCCCAAATCCCAAACTTCCTTCCGCAGGAATTCAGATTTCCATGCTGTTTTTCCACTTCGCAAACACACCAGGAAAACGCACTGACCCAGGCTGTAGGTGGCACCAGATGCCTGAAGGGCTCACTCACACTACACTCACCTCGGCCTTGGACCCGGCGTCTCACTCATGTACGCGTGGCGTGCATAGTCACACATCAGCAGACGGCTTCCAGGACAGTCCGTCAGGCCACCTACCCTCTGCACGGCCTCCATGCCTGCGCCTCCACAGCCAGCCACCACAGGGTCTGGGACGGAAGAGCCGAGCGGTCCAGCGTGGTGCCCACACCATCGGCACACAAGTTCCGGGAGGCCGTGTTTGGACCAAGAGGCTTCAGCAGCGTAGGAGGCCTTTGCAGGGCCCGGTACCCTCACTGTGACCCTAGGAAGACGGCAACAGAAAACTTCACCAGAAGGTCCTCCCTGGTTCAGCATGGGAGAAAACAGTGCATTCACTCTCCCGGCATTAGGTGTCTGGGGGTGCATGTCAGACAACATTCTGAGCAAGGGACACTTGCAGCCTCTCAAAACCCGCAAGATGTACTACATGCTGGTCTTAATCACATACATGTGTAGCCAAGTGCTGATACACGGGCGAGACACACCTCAGGTCAGTGGTTGGAGAAATACGGTCAGGAAAAGGACTGAAGAGGGCTTCAATCACACTTTGTTGTGTTTTGCTCCCTGAAAAAAAAGATCTAAAGCAAATAATGAAAATAAAGATGTTTCCCAGGGAAAAATCAGGGGAAAAAAACCCAAAGCAAATGGGAAAAGAAGTATTATTCTACAGTCCATCTCCTGCCTCCCATAATCTGTCCCCTAGGGGGGTGTGGTGGTGCCCCCTATACTCCTGGTCACTCAGGAGGCCGAGGTAGCACAGCAAGTTTGAGGCTTGTCTGGTAACTTGAGACCTTGTCTCAAAATAAAAAGGGGTAGGGATGTAGTTCAGCGGTAGAGCACCACTTTGGGGTCTAATTCCCAGTACCTTAGGAGGCTGAAGCAGGATCCCAACTAGGAGCTCAGCCTGGGGAACTTGGCGATTTCAAAATTTAAAATTTAAAAGACTGTGGATGTAGCTCAGTGCAAAGGCCCTTGGGTTCCATTCCCAGTGTCCTCCCAATTCCATCTCCTAAAATCGATGGATTGACATAAAAATAATACCCAAAAGTGATTAAAAATTGTATTATAATAAAAAAAAACCATCTTAAGTGCTGAGAAACAAGTATGATAGGCAAAATAGATCTTAGATGGATAGTACCAAAGTGGTATTTAAAACTAAAGCTTGTAAAATTTCTCAAACTGCTTTTTAGTTTTGCACTGACAGCTGACATTTGCATATTAAAAACATAACTTTATAAAGATAGCTTTTGCATTAAGCAGTATCTAAAGATGATTCCCAATGCTTTTAAAAAGAAAAATACATTATCCCAAGGTTTCCTTGTATTGGAGATACAGAATCTTAGGTGAGTGTTACAAGAACAAGTGGAAAACAAACTTTCTAAACAAAGGCAATGCGCTAAACGGAGTGAGTAAAGGCGTTTCCTGGCGGCCAGGCCAGCCAGGTGTGACCTGATGAAACGCCCATCACCTTAAGAAAGAAAGTGACTGTGAAAGCCAAGTGTTTTTGCCATCCCTGACCTTAATTTCCAATGAACCAGAGAAATGAATAAAGTGAAAAGGACAATAGAACACATTGTATAAAACTTACAATTTTGCTTAAAGAGCATAAACATCATAGGGAAATACATGTTCATGAAAACTGATCCATAATTTGGCCTTTTATAATTCACTTTCCACACTGCTTAAGATGCTATTCTGCTCTGAGAAATGGAGGTGGGAGGGCCTGTACACTCACCCTCCTCTGCTGCAGCCCGAGTTGCCTGGCAACCCAAGGTAACTGCTCCTGCAGAGCCCAAGGCGAGGCTTCTCCCACATGGGCTTTCAGGGTGGAGCTGCAGACCGGCCGCCCAGCTCCAGGTCTGTAAGCAAGACCCTGCCATCAGGAGTACTGGCTACCGATCCTTAACAACATAAATGTACCAGCCATCACATTATGTTGAAATAAAATTTGTTTTTATTGTGGAAAGGAAAATGACACTTCACCACATTTTCAAACAGTTTATTTACTCACAATAGTTTAATTTCCCTTGAAAGCTAGAAAATAAAGATCGCTTATATCTTCTGATTTTGTTTTTCCATACTATTAAGCCTATCTTCTGATTTTGTTTTTCCATACTATTAAGCATTGCTCTTTCCCTAACCCTCCTAAAGGTCAATGTTTAAAATCTATGCACACACCAAAGTCATTAATAGGAATGTGCAAAGCTCTATGGAAACTATCATTTAAGGGTTTTTAAAGTAGATCACAATTTAGAGACATACTCCGTGATCTGTTCTTATTTTTAACAAGTGTTATAATTCTTTTTCAAAGCAGTATCATATTTTCAGAGTACAGCCCAAAGTATTCCCTTTTCATATACTGTAATATCAATTTCAGAACTTTTCACCGAAGAAAAATTAAGAATATTATTTCTTTGACCAGAATTTCTGAATCGGATATTTTTCTCCAAGTGTCATCTCTCTTCTTTCCTTTAAAGATAATATACCATACTCAGAACACAATTCTTAAATTTGCTTCTTGTAAATACACAATTGGGCAAAATTAAGGTACATTAGTTCTAGAAAGAATGAAGGAAAGTAGTGTATTTAGCATCACATGTGAACTTAAGGCCTTAAGTTAACTTGGTTGAAATTTCAGTGCTAGCAACAGTGTAAACCCCCATGCTTACATACACCAGTAAGCAGATCGACAAAGCAAACATTTCTGAACATACGATGAACAATTCATAAATCATCAGCCAGTTAGTACAGGCAGACTCTTCTGAAAGCATTAAGTATTGGTAGTAAAATAACCTGATCACATTTCACAGAACAATTAAAAAGTCCTAACCAATCAAAGCATCTGCTGATACAGTTAAGAAACCCACATTTACTTCTCAAGATGCTAACAAAGACTACAGTTTTTCTCAAAATGCCTCCTAAAAATACACAGTAATGTCTATGGCCCATGTGGGAGGCATTGCTAACCTAAACACTACATTACATACATGAGACACAGCAGGCCTGTAAATACGGTCTTATGACAGAAAATCTCACGACCACTTATTAAATAGCATCTTATGTTCACTATTTCAGCTGTCTTTCAAATGAGGACAATTCCTTTCCTACAAAGTTGCCAGTAAAGACAAAGCTGGAGTCAGGAGTCAGAACGCTAACGCCAGCTTTGTCTCTACCTACCTGCAGGAGAGAGGAAAGTTCTCCCAAACCCTCAGAAGGCCTCCGATTCTTCCCTCAACTACAAACAAAGGAGCTGAACAAAATGAATCCTAAGGAGCATTCCCATAAAACAGGATTTTGCTAAACTGTTGAAAACTGAAAAACATTTTAAAAGGTATTTATGAAATATCAAGCTTGATACTTATCAATGATGACAGTTATATATAAGAGAGCTTCAGGCCAAGTAATTACTGACTGCGTGTATGGGATGGAAATACAACTTTTTCAGCATGCTTTTCCAGTTATCAGAAAAGAAGGGGTTTACAATAACAGTAAATCATACAGCAATGGAAACAGTACCAGCAGCAGCATGCTAGTACTGACTAGGAATTACTCGTGTTTGCTTTAGTAACTTTTGCTCACAAGCAAGAGGTTTTATAAAAAGCTATCAGAGCACAAGAACACAACACACGTGATCTGACAAACTCAAAACACATCTGAAATGAAACAGCCAAATTATTTCAGGACACTTCACTTTTTTAAAGATGTGTATGCAGACCTGGGCTACCACGCTTCACTGCACCACACAGAGTCTCAAAACTCAAATTCCTTTCACAAAGCTAACACTAATTTCCAAGAATAAAAATTCAGTTGTATTAGAATGCACTCAGCTATGTTCCCTGGTTCCAAAACTTTCCAACCTAGTATGAATTCAGTAAATGAAGACAGAAGACTAAGTACAAGAAAGTATTGGCCCCTGCAAGGAATATTCACATGGACAATGTGTTTCATGTGCTTAATAGATTTGCAAAGGAAAAGATCACTTTTCACAAAAAAAAATCTCCAAGGCTTGCTCAGTAACACAAAATTTCCATAATGAAAATCTGAGTGTCAACTTGGACAGGAAAAAACAGCTACTTTTGACTATTATGAAACGTGTGTGAAGTAGTAAGAATTATTAGGCTGGGTAAATACTTGAAAACCTGGAGTATGTCCTCGGTGAAGACACCAAAAGAACCCGATGAAGAATGCGTTTATCAAGTGGCCTGGGGACACACATATACTCACTAAAGTTGTAGCACTTTTATTTTCATTGCATTTGCCTGTATTTCTTGAAAACAAACCAATTACGATTTTCCAAAGGCAAGTTAAAATTTTATCAATGATTTTCCTTAATAGAATGAGGACTTTTAATTATAAATACTGTACTACCTATAAGGAAGAGTTTCAATGCTGGAGAAAATTATGCATTTTAAATTTCAAACACCACACCGTGGCCTTCCTGACACCCTCTAATGACAACACAGACACAATCAAGCTATCGAGCAAGAATCTGTTAACAGTTTTATTTTTTATGTTAAATACCATGGGACAGGATTGTAAGGATGAAAAACTCAGTGAACAGTTGCCTCACAAGGGTAAGAAAAATTCTGCCATGATATTAGCAAAGGTAAAGGAGAAAACGTACACGGTAAGAGGCACCATTTCCCCGCAGAACACCTCTTGGCATTTCCTGAATGAGTGATATTAGCAATCTAAATAAATCATGTTTCAAGAGGTAACAGCAACAGATAAAATTTAAAGGGATTATTAAAATAACATTTACAAGACTCTGAACAATTCTTGAACTCTTATTAAAACCACAAAGAAAACAATTCTTTATTATGAATTTCATGAAGGACTGAGTGTGCCACTGACCCTGCTAGTGATGACTTGGTGATAGACAACCTGTCCAGCAGCCAACAGTTTTTACTGTTTTCTAACCATAAGAGATCATTAGAGGCAAAGCCTGTATTGACGCTGTACACACAAATAAATGGTCACTGAGGGCCATACTACCAGTGAAATGGTAGGTAAACAAATCTTTTTCTGGTCAAGAGAAAAAAAAAAAAAAAGGAATAGCACTCTGCATGCTTCACTCTACAAGATGAACTTCCCTAGAAAGAACCCGATGAAGATGGCTGCGATCACAACGAGGAGTGAGGGGAGAGGACTGGTGACGTTGTCTCTGAAGGACGTGGCCGAGGGCAAGCCAGGCTTCTCCGAATGTGCTACCTTCCTGAGCCTTAAGCCTTCCTCCTAGGGGAAAATGCACACAGAGAGATTTTAAACACAAATATGCATACACATGACACCAAAGCTAGAAGACTGCAGAGAAGAAAGCAGAGGGATGGAAGCAAGGATTAACTGCTAGCCCAGTGAGGAACTCTGTGGACATTCTAACACTGGACTTTAGTGATGGCTGCCCAATCCCCTCAAGTTACTATCACTAAATCGTACACTCACAATGAGTGTCTCCATAGGACACACAATTACATCTCAATAATACTGACTTTAAAACTGGAACTAAGAAATATATCCTAAAATACTAATCCTGTGCATATATTTTAAATTGGTTTTACCTATCCTAGCTCAATCAGGCAGAGAACCAGGAAGAAACCCTAGTCTGACGGGTTTGCTGACCCTACAACTCAGGAGCCTGCACAGGACAGGCACAGGGCATACTCTGTAGAAGAGATATTACAGGATTTGGGGAAGGGGTTTCAGGAGGAACTCTAAACAATGCAACATTTTTATATACTCTAAAGCAAAGCAAGGAAGGATGTGTCTGCAAGGATTCGAACCAAGTCTGGACTTCAAAAACCACACAATTCTATTTCTCTAAAAGCTATAAATTAGGGCTGGGGATTTAGTTCAGTGGTTCCGGCGCCTGCGGTGCAAGCACAAGGCCCCAAGTTTGATCCCCAGTACCAAAAAAAAAGAAGAATACAATAAAAGCTACAAATTAAGATGGACATCGGGCCAGGGATTTAGCTCAGTGGTTCCGGCGCCTGCCTTGCAAGCTCAAGGTCCCAAGTTCAATCCCCTGGTACCAAAACCAAAAAGATGGACGTGGACTGCCACACACCAGAACCTCTGTTTGAAGTTCTCACCTGGACTGGGAACTGAGCCTGCTTCTCTGTATCAGTGACTCAGGGCCTCCAGGCAAGGGTGGCTTACTTCCTCTGTACTGAAAGGGTCTCACACAGCAAGTTTCCCAAATGCTAGGTCACCAGGACATGGTTTCCCACAGGAAAGCAGCAGTCACTCAAAGTGGGTCAGGACACTACGGGGAAGTGACCTGGGGAGATACTGACACCTGTGAACTAGGCAGCTAGCCTTAACCCCATCACCAGCCCGACAACAGCAGGCTGTTGGTCACATTTCACATGTCTCCTCTATGTTTCTGTATACAGACAGCCCCCAACTTCATGAGGGCCCAGCTGACTGAAGTTTGAATTGTGACCTTTCTCCGGCCTAGCAGATGCAGTCTGATCCCCTCTGGAGATGCTGGGCGGCTTGCAGCCGGCCCTCCAGAACAAGGGGACACTGTTTTGTAGCGTGCTGTGCTAAAGAGGATGCACGGCAGCTTAGGTGTACTGAGCATATGGCACCTCGGTTCACAAACTCGATTCTGGTCACAAACCAAGCTGGACGAGAACCAAATCAAATTCCATGTTTAAGTTCACTGTTGACCTTATGGGAAAATTTTATTCAGTTCTCATCCAGTTCAGTTTGCAACCAGAATCATGGAGAACTGAGTTTGTGAACTGAGGTACCACTGCATTTTTAACTCAGTAACATTTTGAACTTAGGATGAACTTATGAAGTATTTCAAGGAGTATGTGAAAAGAATACTCCGAAAGAATACACCTGAGTGACCTAACATCATACTATTTTCTTTGCACTGCGGCTATTTTTTGGAATTGGGTTCTGGGGCAGGGCGGGGGGGGGGGTCGGGTCTTATGTTAATTATTAATTCCAGATAAGAACAGCAATGAGTCTCAGCCCCAGCCATACATTACAAACACTTTAGAACTTTAAAACCATCTCTGGGTCTGGGCTGGACCTAGCCGTCTGTGTTTAAAGGCTCACTGGGTGACTCAGATGCAGAGGCTAGATGAAGTGAAGGCTTTAAAGTCTAAAATGTAATGTGAAAGTACTCAGGTACTGAACGAAGTAAGTACTCATTACTAGCAAATTATGCAGAAGCCTCAAATATATATAGATCCATGTCAGTCCCTCCAGCAGACGTCCAGCGTTCAACAGAACATGAGTCACTGCTCTTGGCCGTACATGGATGCAGACAGTAAAGCCCTGCCCCTGAGGACTGCACACTCCAGGGAGAAAGCCTCCTGACAGGGAAAGTGGTAGGAGGTAGCAGACACTCATGAACACAAATGAACAACAGTCCAAGACAATTTTTTTTGTTTTGAAGGGAGAGAAAACTACATTGAAAAAATACAAAAAAGACAAGAATTAGATAGTGAAAAGTGTGCACACTGTGCGGTACAGAAGGACAGGTCCAAGGCCTTGGAGATACAGTGAGGAGAGCTCATGCCGAAGCAAGAGGAGTGACAAAGGAGCTGCTTCTCGGGTATTCTAGTTCAACACACTACAACACAAACACAACATGGGCAGCAAATGCGAGCCATATGTGTGATTTTATGTGTTTAATAGCAAACTGAAAGAGTAAAAATAAATTGACAAAATTAATTGTAATATATTTATTCAACCCAATCTACCCAACATATGATTTAAATATGTAACAATATAAAAAAGACAGTTTACCTTTTTTGGTATTAAGTCTCCAACTCTGGTGTGTATTTCACACTCATAGCACATCTCAATTTGAACTAATCACTTTTCAAGTGCTCAACAGCTCCACAGACTAGTGACACTAAATGACAGCACAGTGGTAGGTGACTCACTGTGACTGGGACACAGAACATAAAGGACAGCAGAAACAAGGGAGGAAGTAAGCAATGTCACAGGCCACTCCACGAATTCTTTAAGATGTCTGCTAAGGAGAGAAATCCGTGGGCCACCAGAAGCCACAGTAAGACTGTTAAAGAGGATGGGACATGGGCAGAGGCCAGGACACAATCCAAGTGGGAAAAGGAGAAGGAGCTAACCATAGAGGAACAGCAGAAATGCTCGCGAAGTGGCTTAATAATACAGGTCTCACACCTTTGTTCCAACTGACTTAGTGTCCACCAGCAGAACTTACTCTCAGGTGTCGATTTTCTTCTGACAGCTTCATCATTTCTCCCTGAAGTCTTTTACACTCTTCCATGAGCTTCCGCGTCTCAGTATCACTGAGTGAAACACTGTGCGGTTTTGGCATGGGTCCGTCTTGTTTAGATGCATTCAGCGGGACAGCTTTGCTAGGTTCCATATCGTTCTGCATTACAAAGACATTGGGAACTTTTAAACTAACCAAATCTTACAGATTTTAAACAAAACTCTGAATTCTACTTCCTTCTTTTCAAAATTAAAAAAAAAAAACCTTGAAAATTTTTCAATTTCATTGATAAGATTTTTTTTTTTAATACCAAATTACGGTCATCTGCAAACAATTTTAAAAGAACTAAATCAGTAAATGTCACCAGTTAGGTAAATCAATAGGCAGCCCACTACCTCCTCTACTCCCATAATCCTTAGCACTTACCTTACCAGAGCATTTATTATATACCATAATAATGTATCTCTGAAGTTCTTTCCTATAATACCTCAAAGGCTGGGAGAGCAAGAACCATTTCTCCTTGTATTTTCCCTAAACTCAGCACTTTGGCCAATAGTAGTTATTCAATTAAAGTATGCTGGATGACTGATGCCAACCAAAATCCAAATATGAAGGTCATTTTCAGTGCTGATTCTGCAATTCAAATGAGGATGGGGAGGGAGGCAGGGGAATGTTATCATAATCATTCCAGATGAAATTAGGAACTAAGAAAAAACATTTTTAAAAAAAAACACCTAACTTCTATTAATGGAAAAAGAACTGAAGCACACACAACTATTTAAAGGGAGACAGTGACACTAACATACCACTCCAACAAAAGAAGAGGCTGGGGATCAGAAGGCTAATCTTAAGATTCCTTTAAATCCTTAGTAATATTGTTTTCTTTTACGGATGTGATTCATTATGGAATTCTACTTAAGCAGTACTTAAGATACTTTTAAACTATGGAGAAGTGAAAATTTTTCATTCTTACCAGCATCATTAACCAAGTTAAGGATCTATGGCAGTACATGGCCCTAAATGCCTCAATACCCTTCCTCTCAGCAGCCTTTATGCCACCACCCACCATAACAGCATCAGTGCATAAGTATTTTTGTTTATTTTAATGAGATGTTTAATTGTTAAAAAATCTAGAGGGCTGAGGCTGTTGCTCAGTTAAAGCATTTGCCTAGCACACGAGGCCCTGGGTTAGAGCCCCAGCGCGCGCGCGTGCACACACACACACACACAGTTTTAGATAAAGACATAAAACCTACTTTATTCAGACATAAACTGCCAGCAAAGGCATTTACAAAAGCATGCATTCCACAGTATTCATTCACATGTAAGAAAAGTCTTTGTTCAAGGGGCAAAACCAGGGTTTCTTATAAAGACAACGTAGTTTTATCAGTATGCCTAAATACTTGTAAAATTTAATGTTACAATGAAGTTCTCATGTACAACACTATACACTGGATCTGTGTGCACTTTTCAGTTTTTCTTCAGGCATCACGGGACGGGCCAGAGGGGTTTGAAGAAACCTAGTTCAGTGTTTTCTGAGTTCTTCTTAGTTTTTTTGTTCTTCACCCTCTTCTCCCAGTTTCCAACTACCTCTACTACTAAAAAACTGGTGCATACAGATTTTGCTCACTGCCAACATTCTTTCCTCTACTCTGTTCCTTACTAGTAACTAGGTTTACTTAAAATGATTTTCTGAGCATGCCTGAACACCATCACACCAACCCGCACAAGTCCAATGTCTGACAACAAGGTGAAGAAAGCACTGTTCAATAAGGTGGCAACTAAAGAGCTTCAGGTTTTGGCTAAGAATGGAGGGAAAATCATACTCATGTCAGAAAGCTGACCAATTAAGAAGACATAAATAAGGCCAACAAGGAGAAAAAAAGCAAAGAATCATCAAGCTCTTCATAACTCAATTTTCAAATTTTGAAATTCTCACAAATTTAAAATTGTAAGAGGAAATTATCACCTGTTACCTCATTAACACAACAAAATTATTTACATTATCTTCCAATTTTTCCAAATGCATTTTATAAAATCAGCCTATATAATACTGCCTTGTTTTACTGATGTACATGCATTTCCTTTAATTATCATTTTAAAGGATACAATGTCATTAAATAAGTGTATTTTATCCTTTATTAAAGTTATTTAAACTATTAACATTTGTTAGAAGTTGGATGGTAGCTTCCCATTCTTTGCAATTTTAAATAAGGAATCAATGAATATCTTCTTCTAGTGGTAGAAATAATTTTTTTATATTCAAGTTTTTCTTAATGAAGTTACACTGGCTTTATAACAAAAAGAAAATCTCCATTTGTAGAGCATAAAACATTAAGGCTAGAATCCAAAGGATACATAGTGAGGGTTAAACACACTTCAAAAGTGAGTCACATATGTTGTGTGTCATTAAAAGTTACACAGAACACAGGCCATTTAAGCCCCCTACAAACCAGTTAACATCTACAGCAGATGGAAAGTAATCTATTTATGAACACTGAATGTGTAACACATGTAACCTCACTTAGCTGGGAACTAAGATAGGGAAGGGCAAGTTATTCATGGGGACGATCCGAAGAGCCTGGCGGGAAGCACTGAGCAGCTGTGACTGAGCACACACTTCCCCCCCCAGGAGCTCCCCTGGGGAGGAAAGAGCCTGGTCCTTGAGAACTGCTTCAGACCAATCCAGGAGACTGGCTGTTCTGAGAACCACGAAACAAGCAATCCAGGACTCAACACACTGTGACTCATAAAAAACTGGTAAGTGGTGAAATTATCTTAATTTATATTTAACACTGCAACTTAAAATAAGCTGAAAGATCAAGGCTGTGTGTGTGTGTAAATTAAGGTAAAACAACACATCACATGCTGTACACACAGTATCCCACTATTTTACTTAATGTATGTACTGTATGTCTCTATTCATTTTCAACAACCATCAGAGTTCTAATCTCAGTATTACAAGTAATTCTACTGGAGGTAATCAGAAAGAGGGAATCAGGCGGAACACTTGGCGGAGCAAGTTTTCAAGGATGCCCTGGGCTGAACACAGGCGTAAAAGGCATAAACAGGGAGCTACAATCTTCTGACTCCTGTGAGAAAGGGACATCGCTGTGTACAAAGGGGTAAGGCCAAAGGCAAGACCTACAGGATGAACTGTCAGAACTGAAGTTTTACCCTGTGAATTAAGAGACAATATATAAAAAACAAAGTTGGCCTGGGGATTTAGCTCAGTGGTTCTGGTGCCTGCCTTGAAAGCACAAGGTACCGAGTTCGATCCACGATACCAAAAAAAAAGGAGTCCTGTGAAAACCAAAGTTCCCTGAAACACTTTCCTACTTTAAGCATCCATTTTACTGTTTCTCTAATCCCATGATTCCTAGAAGTAAGTAACTCCAAATCACACACACAAAAAGGCTATTTAAAGAATTATATTTTTACTTTTTTTTTTTTTGGTATCGGGGATCGAACTCGGGACCTTGTGCTTTCAAGGCAGGTGGCATAACCACTAAGCTAAATCCCCGGCCCTAAAGAATTATATTTTTAAAGCCTTATTGGTATGCAAGTATTTTCATAACCCAAATAAGTAAAAAAAGGTATATCCATTCCAATAACAAAAAAAAAAAAAAATCAGTTACCTTACTGGTGGAGCAGCATTTTACTTGAGTGAATATTAAGAACACACACATTCATATACATACACACGCACACACAAAATTAACAAATTACATTATGACCTTTTTTAGGGCTTCAGCTATAAATTCTCCTCCACCGGGGGTTTGTATATAATCAACAATAGCAGTTACAGGGAGGTTCTCACATCCGTATTTGACAATAAAATGTAAAGCATAATTTACCTTTTTTTCTATAAACACCAACACTTGTCTGAAGAGCAGGGTCTGCCAGCTCCAACAGCGTATGCTCCCAAATCTCATTTCACTAACTTAACGTTCACTTGCTTTTGTCCTGCTCACTACTATGCTCCTCCTAAGTATTAGGTTTTTTTAGAACAGAATCATCTGTGTGCATGATTTTTAAGTGCTTTGAATTTCTACTGTAATTTTAAATACACTTGGAAAATCTACCTAACGTAAAATCAATACCACTCTCTGCTAGGTCTCTACAGGAACTTAGCGGTGGCCCTGGGAGAGCCCTAAGTCTGTCAGCTCCCTGTGACAAACCTTCTGCTTCTCCTGTGCCAGCACACTGAGTTTCCTGGCTTCGCTCGTCCTGGGATGAGTGGCGGGTGCTGCAGCTGTGTTGCTGGCTCTGTTCACCAAGCTGACGGGCGGAGCTGTCCCTGGTGGAGTTACACCCTGAGATGGCGCGGATGGAAACACATGCTCAGATTCACATCTGACTGATTCCTCCTGTGTGACACTGGGAATGCCTAACACAGACAGCATTAGGCTCTAATGCAGTCACATTTAACTCTATAAATATGCATTATGCATAAGAAACAGTATTAATGAATAGCTTTATTAAAACAAAAATGTTTCTGAACTAATTTTTTATATTTCCCAAATAAAATTAGCTATGGTCTATTTGCATTATGTTCATTTATTAAATGAATATATTCATGTTTTCTTACTTTTGATAACATTCAACTTGAACTTTTACCCTTTGAAATTCAAAATGTAATGCTCTGTAAACCTCTTACACTGAAAAACACACACATACAAACATAACCACACACACATGCTCACACACACAAATACCAGACCAATAAATGAATTCAAAGACTCATATAACCTTCTGGTTAGCTTACTATTAATTCCATAATTCTCTTCCTATCTTTTCAAATTCCTTTGGTACAGATAAAAATATTGTACAAAAAGGTGAGAACAGACTTTAAAATACATTATCTATTCTTTGTCTCAATAGGAAATGTATATTTTAACCATAAAAATTTATATCCCTGAAATCCCTGTTCTTTACAGCCTTTGTAGCTTTCCCCAAAACAAATTAGTATTTTTTTCTGGAAAATACATCACCATCAGAGGTTAGCTACAAGGCATAAAGGAAATGCAATACATTCAAGAAATCTAAAAAATGTCAAGCAGAGAGCTTGTCAAGCCTCAAAAATTTCTCAACCACTCAGTCCTAAAAACAACCACCATCACTCATCGGACACCATCTGTCATACAAAGCTGGTTATGTCAAACCCTGAGAAGTCCATCTCCTACAACAGCCAGCACACCAGCATTGCCTGCCATGCACTGTCACGCACCCAGCAAACACCCCAAGTGGTTCTGTGGTCCTAGCCTTCACTACAGCTCCATTGCAGACAGCGACAGGCACACAGACGCACTGCTGCTCCCCAGGGCAAAGACAACTACACTATCAGTGTAGCTGAGGACAGTATTCATCTATTCCTGCTGTCCAGGAAAAATTAATAGTACCTCCCTATAGTCTAATGGGTTCCTGGATTTCCTTAGTCATCCATCTATGATCCAAACCAAAAAGCTTTTTCCCCAAAAGAAGCCTACCGTGAAATGATAGATGAATAAAATAAATTTGAACTAACTTAAAAAATAACTTCTTTAAAATATAAAACTAAATTGGGCTGGGGATTTAGCTCAGTGGTTTCGCCGTCTGCTGCGCAAGGGGCAAGGACCTGAGTTCGATCCCCAGTACCAAAAAATAAATAAATAAATAAATAAATAAATAAAGCTAAAAACATGGACTAAACCATTATACTTCTAAAGCTGCCTCCTTTTAATATCATACAAGATGATCACAAAATTTTTATCATTTTCTTATGTATTCAATGACACAGTCCTAAAATTCTAAAGAAACCAACAACATAAGTAGTAACATTCTTTTCCCACTGTTTTAAGAACATGTGAATGCCTAAGAACTAACAGTTTATCTAAAAATAAAGATCCTCAAACAAGTGTGGTATACTTAATCTACAGTACTTAAATGCCTGCACATTCTGTTGCGGGGTATGGAAGACATGGTGGGGCAGGACAGTGAGGGGTGGGTGGGGTGGTTTTACCTAAGAAACATTAAATCAAAAAATCACCTACATCTGACGTCTGTCCATGTTTGGGAAGAAAACATCTACTGTGAAATCTAACTGCTCTAATTACCAAATGTTTCCAGGCTGACTATAAAGATCAAATTCTGATGACCAATTCTTTAAGTAGTACCCAAAAACCTAGTAACTAAGTGAGGTGATGGATATGTTAATTAGCTCCACAGTGGCAATTATTTCACAATGTACACATACGGAAACAAAAATAATAATAATGTAAATGTGTACAGGACCTACCACTGCTCCAAACACTGCACATGGCTGAATACCAACTACTGTACGTGTGCCATCCAGACAGCTACATGTATCACGCTGTAAGTTTTCACCTACAAACTGAATTTTGATGATATACTTATTACAACATACTAATAAATAAACCAAGCTTGGGAGTGTGGTCAGTGGTAGAGGCCTTGCCTAGCATCTAAAAGGCCCTGGGTTAAGGTCCTAGCATGGCTGAAGAAACAAACAACACACCTTATCCCATTATCCTTGCTGCTTTCGAAGGCCGTTCTGGAAGTCCTCTTTCCTGAGTGTCTTTAGTTGTGCTGCCGTGGCTGCCTCGATGTCCTTAATTCATTTAAAACTTTTGTCTTTCATAATCATTTTGACATTGGGGAAAAGCCAGTTGCACAGTGCCAGATCTAGTGAATAAGGCGGATGGGGACACACGGAAGTTTTTATGAGCCTGCCTTTTCGGTGGATGGCCCCCTGGCAGCAGCACTTACTGTACTCTGATCCCATTTCAAAAACGTTCACAGAAGAGGCCTGTTCCAGAATGCCCGGGAAAGTGGAAGGGATGATGGGATCAGTGTGCTCAAGGCACAGGAGAGTCTTTTGAGAATGATTAATGGCAACGTGTCTTTTTCCTGTAATAAATCTTTTAATTTAAACATTTGCCATATATTTCCATCACACCTCATACATAGTTACAAAAGTTTTATCTTTAATTGTTATAAATAAACACAAACATTCTTACACAAATTCTACACCATCACAAAGACTCCACTTTGTGCACAAAGGCAGGACTGAACTGATGCTGGACAGGAAGCCATGAATGAACTGAGGACCGCAATGGCACTGAGCCTGCGGAGACGACCTGACTGAAGCACATCTTCTCATCATAAACATTCCTTGCAGCACCCACAGGTTCACACCTCCACAAGAGTGCACACAGAAGAGTTTTGTTTTGGTTGCGGGGGGGGCTTTTGCTGAGGCAGGGTATCTCACTACATAGATCAGGCTGGCCTTGAACTCACTATGTAGCCCAGATTGGCCTTGAGCTCATGGTGATCCTTCAAACAGAATAGTATTTTTTAAAGTATGTTTTTCAGAATGTTAGATACTCCAGGAGAATTCCGTTATATTAAGCTTTTTAAATGCTAGTTTAAGCATACTTCTTTAAATGCAGATGTCACAGCTTTCAGCTTGTAAATACACAATGTGATTCTTTCCAGAAGACACATTGTTTTCCATGTTTTTCCTAACTCTTCCAATACAATACAATTTGGGAAATACTGCCTTAAAAAATACAGATGTTGGGCTGGGGATTTAGCTCAGTGGTTCCGCCTCCTGCCTCTCAACCACAAGGTCTTGAGTTTGATCCCCAGTACCAAAAAATAAATAAATAAAATACAGCTGTTTGGTTGGGGATTTTTTGTTTTTGGTTCTGTTTTGTTTTGATTTTCGCCTTCATTTTTTGAGACAGTCTCGCTATGTAGCCCAGGCTAGCCTCAAACTCAGGCAATCCTTCTGCCTCAGCCTCCTGAATGATCAGATTTCAGGTGTGTGCCAACACGCCTAGCTTACAGTTGTATTTTAACAACTCTTCTGAATATATTAAGTCTACATCTAACTTGTACATTATAGATACAATTTTTGTATATTTGAATTATATAAATTTGAAAGGAAATACTGGAAAAGTGTCATTTTATATGCAAAACTTGAACTGTGAACTCCAAACACTGAAATGAACAGCCATCAAAAATTACAATCACAAGTTAAACTGTGTGTGTGTACTGTTCAGCTGGCTCTACTCTTCCCAGAACCACTGTTTGATTGTGCATGCTCTAAGTTATCCAAGATCTTCAAAAGCATTTCCTACCCATAAATGCAATATTTGTAAGAATAAAACGATCTGTATACAGTGTATCCTCAAGTTACAACTAGCCTGACATACGAACAACTTGGGTTATGACCAGAATTTTAGTTTTAATTTACAACCAAAGTCTTAAGATCTGAATGCCGGTGGTTTGTGCTTCCGGATGGTCTCAGGTATACTTAACCCTAAAGAGCTCTGGATGGAACGTTACAACATCCTTTCCTATGAGGGGTTCATTGAATGGGCCGATCAATGTCTCTCTAAGGACACTGGGATCTGCCTGTGTACAACAGAGAGACTTTGAAGGCTGTGTCGAGGAGCCTGAGCCTTCACTGACCAACTTGGGTTAAAAGCAACCCTCAGGAATTGAGTTTATAAGTCAAGGGTCCACTGTAACTCTATGTGCACTGGACACAATTTTATCATTAAAATGTCACCTTTCCAAAGCACTTTCAAATAACAAATGGGTCTCCACTCTAATCTCAGCCAAGGTTTGACAGAACTTCTGACAAAATTAAAAGTCAATCTTTGGGGGCCGGGGATGTAGTTCAATGGTGCCATGCTTGTCTTGCAAGCACAAGGTTCCGAGTTCAATCCCTGGTACCAGGAAAGAAAAAGTCAATCTTTACCCTAGTACCGATTGTGTTTTTGAAATAACATCTCCCACAAAAATGCCCCAGAGCTCCTTGAAGAAATGCTTGATTCCAGATCTGGGCCTGAAGCCAGGCATGGTGACACAGGCCTGTGATCTCAGCACTTGAGAGCCTGAGGCAGGAGATTGCTGCGAATTTGAGGGCAGAGGGGGCCATGTAGTTCAGGGTCAGCCTAGACTACATTGTGAAACCCTGTCTCAAAACACAAAACAGAACAACAAAAACAGATCTGGGCCTTGAAAAATCTTGGCATATTAGGTATTAAGAAAGTTAAGGCCAGGGATTTAGCTCAGTGGTTCTGCCACTTGCCTTCCAAGCGCAAGGTCCCGAGTTCAATCCCCAGTACCAAAAAAAAGTTAGCAAAGACTACTAGGGACAAGAGGATTCAAGATCCAACCTGAAGAATCTCCTAATTCAATCTGAGCACCAATGATAATAAAACAAGGAGCTGAAACTCAAATGTTCATTTAAACCCATGAGCTTTAACAATATACAGAGTGAGGGTTGGAGACTTAGCTCAGTGGTTTCGTCGCCTGCTGCGCAAGCGCAAGGACCCGAGTTCAATCCCCAGTACCAAAAAAAGATCAAAACATCATAGTAAAAATGGACCATTAGTTTAAAAAAAAAAAAGAAAGAAAGAAACAAGGCAGGCACTACGGTGATGTACACCTCCTGGCCCAGCTACTCGGAAGGCTGAGAGGGAAGGGTCCCTTGAGCCCAGGAGCTCAAGACCAGCCTGGGAGTCGCAGCAAGACCCTATCTCCAAATAACAAAACAAAACAAAAAAGAGAATTTTTTATCTCAATCTCAATTCAAACAAACTGTAATAATCCATCAAAATTTAATGAAATTCATTTGTGAGATAAATCTGAATGCTGCCTGGATAGTTTGATATTAATAATACATAAAACTTTGAAAGGCACAACTAATAGTATTAACGTTAAAATTCTTTCTTTTTTAAGGCCTTTGAAAGATATATGGCAAGTTACAGATGAACTTACGTACTTGCCTTAAAATAGTATGTGAGACATAAAGCCCTGGGGTTTGATGAAATAATAACCATGAACAGGGTTATTGTACTTACTCTTCCTGCTTTTTTTTCTAGGTGTCATCTAATGCCCAGACTTGGAAAATAATTTTTTGTTTAAAAAAAATCATGATCTTTAGCAGAGATTTTCTACAGCTTAATTACAATTTCTACCACAAATCCAAGCAGCTTGGTTAGTGAAAATGCATTCTGATGCTAGTTCAAGACTCTGGAGCACTCGGAAGTTACACATAGCCCTGGGCTTGTGCTCCAAGTTCCCAAGCAGACCCCAAGTGAACCCCTGCATGACCACAGCACCCCGCCCCTCTCTTTTTTGGAATGGAGAGGCTGGCTCTGCTGCACGCTGTATCATCCCCTAGCCTTCTGTTGTGCTCTAAAGCAGCCAGAGCTACTCGTAACAGCGTTAACCCTGGATTCCAGCTACAATCTCAAACTTTTTTTCCCCTGAGACAGGATCTCACTTTGTAGTTCAGACTGGCCTTGAACTTGCAGCAGCCCTTCTGCCTCAGCTCCCCAGAACTGGGATTATAGGCAGGCGCCACCGCAGCCAGCCTCAAACTGCCTTACATCCACAGCACGGTGGAAGCCCAGATATAAGGCAGTTTATTAAATTCTTATTTTAAAAAATTAGCCAACTAAGTAAGAAAACATCTAAACGTATTTTTTTTCCTAAAAGTATTTTTTTATAACAAGTCAATTCAGACAATTTTTTATTATGGTTTATTTTTGTTCAAATAAGAAAAGCTATGCAAACTATTACTTTCCTAGCAGCCAAGATGAAACAGAACATAAACAAACTCCAAACGGGAAGCATTAACCATGCCACATTTTTTATTTTTGGCAAATGACTCACATCCCTTAAAAGGGGCATTTTAAAAATTCACTAATTTGGTTAACACCTAATTACCATACCACTCTGGAGCTTTTTCACTTCACCTTTCCTGAAAATGTAACACAATAACTGAGCATGTGTATTTAGTCCGCATATTTTCAGACAGAACAAATGATCCCCAAATCAAAGCAAAACTCACGTCAGATTGTCTGCATCAAACTGTGCCAATGGTATTTATCTAAATTACTGTATTAACTTACACACAAAAAAACAAAAAACTTAACTTTCTAGTCCCTCCTACAAACCACAGGAAAAAAAATGCAAATTTGCAATCCAGAAAGGAGACAGAAAAAGTGACTAGAGGCCCCCCATACATTTACAGACTACTGGTTTGGTTTTTATTACTGTTATTATTCTAACTAAACACATCTAGCTGTTCTCAGTCCCTCAAACTTTACTTGCCTCTCACTAATCGATAAGCAACAATAAATTATTTAATAACAAAAATCACATGGATTCTGATGAAAAAAAACAGTAATAAGCAAAGTATTTGGGAAAGGCTAAATCTGGAATAAGCTGCTCATTCGTGTAAATTAAACCTTCTCTTCCCAGACTGTCAATATACAGTTGCCAAAATGCAGCTTATCTCTGTTCTAGCTATATTTAGGTATATGTTGTTTTTTTAACCTCCCTTTTAAAAAGTTTCAAGTGGCTTAACAAAATTTGGAAGAATTAGGTTTTCCCCATCCTGCAACTTGGATCTAACAAATGAATTCTTTCTTCTTAAACAAACAAAATGTTATAAAATGAAAAAAAGCACATTAAGTTTTTTTTTAACTTAAGTCTCATTAAGAGGGCTATATCGTACACTCCCTAAGGCCAAAAACAGAATTCAATATTCAACAACTTCCAATTTCTACTTACCAATTTATCATTTTCATTCGGCATTTCAAATACACATCTCAATTTAGAATCCATTAATTCATCAGGTTTTGCCTCTTTCCACTAAAAGCAAACAAAGCAATGTGAGACACAACACAGAAGGCAGGAACATGGCCGGAGATTTAGCTCAGTGGTTCCAGCGCCTGCCTCACAAGCACAAGGATCTGAGTTCGAGCCCCGGTATCAAAAAAAAAAAAGAAGGCAGGAGCATGGCAAACAGGTCTCACCTGAAGGGACAAGTGAGACGTAAGTGTGGCGTGGGACACTGGGGAGCGTGTGTGGCCAGGCCAGAGCACACCGCAGCACTCTGTGGTGGTCGCCCTGCCACTGTCATTCACTAATGCACAGAACCTTTAGATGCCCCTACACCTCCAGTCAAAATCTGATGAAATCACACTGGCAGCCCACAGGTTTTTTTCTTACATTTTAAAAACTTGAGTTTTCCTGTTAGGAGTTAAACAAAACCCACAGTTCAAACTACATTCCCCAAAATAAAATCTGTTCAACTTCTACACTTACCACTGCTTCCATATCCGAAGTGTTTGGTGGAGCAAAAATCGTCTGTACCATAAACTTGTGTTTGCTCTTTTCATTTGGATCATAATCAAAGGGCTGTAACATTACTAAATAAGAAGGACATGTTATATTGTCATCCGCAAGTTTATCATTCCCATTACCTAACACACAAGTTTTTAAAAACCACGATGAGTTCAAGATACCACATACTACATTATTTACACTAAAGTTCTACAATCAACTTTATGAATTCCTATTATTTTTAAATCATTCACTTCTCTGACTCGCTAAGTCTTTTAACAATCCACAAATTAACAAATGGGTACTTAAAGATAAATATGAATCTACAACTGCCTCCTCTAAATTTAGTTTGTGAAAATTTTCACACCTTTGCCAACAATGACTCCTTAAAACAACTTATAAGGCCAGGGATTTAGCTCAATGGTCCCACCACCTGCCCCACAAGCGCAAGGACCGGAGTTCAATCCCCCGTAACCCCCCCAAAAAAATTTATAAAATGAATTTATGCTTCATTTTAGTACCTAGTGATAATTTTAACTAAACTGAGATACTTACAGGAGAAATACTTAGTGACTTAAGAACCCTCTGTCATATTATTTTAATATAATTACCTTTTCTAAAATGGATTTAAATAAACTACTCAAGAAGAATTTATCTACTTTTTAAATTTTATTCTAAGAAAAAAGCATCAAAGAAAATCATATAATCTTTCAATATGGAGAATTTAGAGTCCAAATAAATTTTTTTGGTACCGGGATCAAACTCGGGACCTTCCACTTGCAAGGCAGGTGGCAGAACTACTGAGCTAAATCCCCGGCCCAAGTTCAAATAATTTTTTCTAAGCATTTAAGAATTTCAGGAGCCTCTAAGAGGCTTTGTTAGGGTTCAATGTGGTAATAAGTCATGCTAAATTTACAGACATAAATCTAAGGAATAAACAAGCAATTATTAAACTTATGCATATGGTATAGAAATTATTTCCCTACTAACATTTAATTATCTCTGAACTCTGGTCAACACTTTCAAAAAAACAAATGCAATTAAGCAAATGCAAGAAATATCGATTACTCAAAATCTTATCTGTAAGGTACGTTTGAGAAGTCTATTAACCACTTAGCAGCTTACCCCGAGCACCACTCGGGCAGGAGTCATTTCAACCAGTCCATTTTTGTATTGAATAAACTTGATAAAATTGTCATTTTTATATTTCTTGTTATATTTATCTTATGAAAATTAACAAAAATTGCAATTTTTTGGTCACCCTGTTTTTAAATAGTTGGACTTCTAAGTGGTTAACTCCCTAAAAAAAATTTTCAGGGCCAGGATTTACCTCAGTGGCACTGTGCCTGCCTCACAAGCGCAAGGTCCCGAGTTTGATCCCCAGTACCAAAAAAAAAATTTCAAAGGGGCAAATACACAGCAGCAGAAAAAACACAAGATAAAGACCTTGGGATACACAAAGCAAAATACAAACACCTTTTACTGAGTAATTGCTATAGGCTCATCACCATGAAACAAAAATTTGTGGACAAAAACAATGACAAAACCAGGCATGGTGGTGCACGCCCACAATCCCAACTACTCAGGAGGTTGAGGCAGGAGGACCACAAGCTTGAGGCCAGCCTGGGCAACTTAGCCAGAACTATCTCAAAATCAAAAAGTTTAAAAACACTGGGGTATAGCTCAGTGGCAGAGCACTCCTGGAGAGGATGAATCCTTGCGTGTTCCTGCTCCCTGTGTTACTACAACACAGTGGGACCTGAGAAGGACTGCTACAAAGAGAGGTTCTCCTAGAGGCCACACGCATCCTCATACTGGTTTCCCACTTCTCAGCTGTGTCAGAAGACTACTAAGGGGTACGCTCTTGGGAAGCCTGAGGGCTGTCTGAGAAAGGAAAGGAAGCTACTGACACCAGCACTGATTTTACAGCAAGAGTGAGTGATTCATATCTGGCAGGAAACAAGCATACCTTCAACTACAGTATAAGTAAACACATAAGGGAATAATAAAAATAAAGGTTTTCCTGGGCGTGGTGGCCCACGCCTGCAATTCCAGCTCTCTGGGATGCTGAGGTAGGGGAATCTCAAGTTTGAGCCCAACCTGGGCAACTGAAATAAGGAACAGTCTCAAAATAAATATATATAAAAAGATTGGGCATGCAGCTCAGTTCAATCTCCAGTACCATTTTTTAAAAATTTTCAAGTGCAAGACACTGGGCATTTACAGTAACAGGCATCAAGATTCATTTGCTTTGACATAAGCAAAAAAGCACCATACTTTTGTAAGCAAAAGAATTAGAACCCAGGAAAAATTTCTCAAGTTTCATGTAATACACAACAGATCTAATCCTAAAAATGGTATTGTCAAAGACAAAATAATAGGGCCGGGGATTTAGCTCAGTGGTTCCGCCAGCTGCCTCGCAAGCGGAAGGACCCGAGTTCGATCCCCAGTACCAAAAAAAAAAAGACAAAATAATAAAGGCAGAGAATGCACTGAGCTGTAAGAAGAACTAGATACAAAGTTTTAAATTAACAATTACTTACAAATTAACCATACAAACCTCCAACACAAAACAGGAAGTTGAGAAATTTTCTCTGAACTGTGCACATTACAGTAAGATAGCTTTAGTGTAAGAACATCTTTAAAGGCAAAGTCAGAACAAAAAGTATTCCCTTCCCTCCAGATGAAACACTATTAGATAAACCAAATTAGACATGGTCCTAAAATGTCAAAATTCAAAACTCTAAGTTCAGGACATGAATTGCTACCTGAAACAGTCACCGTCGACCCTGGGTCAATAATTCCACTGTTGGGCCTCACACAGTACCGGCGAGGTGCTGTAGTCTTCACTTTGAAACACACTTTTCTGTCTGATGGATTTCGCAATTTAAGATTTGTAGTGACTACATCTGTGAAGGGGCCTATGAGTTTTAAAAACAAAAGAGAAAAACAATTAACTGGAATCACAAAATCAAAATTATATGAATGTAGCAGCAATTTTATTAATATTTTGATCTCTGCACACATAGATATTACCAAATGGCCAACAGTGGTAAAATTTCTTCAGGTGGCAGACTTAGAAATGAGGTGTACTGACTTTTCATTTTCATTCCTGACCATCATCCACAAAATCTCCACAGTAAACATCATTATTGCCACTTCTTAAAAAAGTATTTTCCAAGTTTCAATCTAAGAAGTCAGTCTACAATTGTTACTCTTACAGTATGCTCTCACTGCATTACTGAAAATACCAGAATTCTCCAATGGTCTTCAAACCAGTGTCAAAAATCCCTCTATCAGAAGACACTACACCCTAGAGCACCAGTGCTCCTGTCTCTCAATTAAGTTTGGGGGACCTACTCATTCATTCATTCATCCATTCATACTATTTGGTAGGTGTTGGTTATGTCTACTGTGGTTACACACTACAAATACAAGTTTTTAAGCTTTTAGGCTTTGGTTCTGCACCCGAACATAAAATTATAAGCAATCCAAAAAGCTGGTACAGCTCTGCCTGAATTAAACCAGTATATCCTCCCTCATTTTTAAGAGAGATGTTAAAATTACAGCCATTTTGCTCTTGGCTAAAGAAAAGCCTAAAGACAGATTTATGCAGGTTAATTTAAAAATGAACTTACTTTTTACTTTGGAGGAGGCAGGAGAAAAAAAAATATGCCCAGATAGGAAGCAAAACACCCACTAGTAACTATTCCAAAAACAATTTCAAATGATTTCATGTTCTGGGGGGGTGGGGGTGGGACTGAGGGTGTAACTCAATGGTAGAGTTCTTGCCTAGCATGCCAAGGCCCTGGGTTTGATTCTCAGTGCCGCAAAATACTAAAGAGCTGAAGGGCTGAAAATAAAAGACACCTAACTATAAAGGCCATCTTTTTTAAAATAAATCTTAAATAAACATGAAAGTAAAGTCAAATTGGCAATATTTGAAAAGATTTTTAAATAGATATTGTATTTCTCTTAGTCTCCAAAACATTTCCTGAAGTATCAAACACAGGAAATATTTTAAACATTTTACATCCAAGAAAGCTCTAAAAATTTTCATCGCAAATTTTTAAATGGAGTCACCCCATTTGCCTTTTTCCATACTGCACTGAAATCAAAGAGGCAATGTAAGGGAGCCCTGCAAACAGTGGATCTTTGAAGTCTTATTCGCTGCTGTGCCATGCATAGCACAATGCTTGGCACAGTAGGTTACTGGCAGGTATTATTGTACAACTATCACTGGGCAAATAGACAGACTGTCTCTTTCTGAAAAAGTCATATGAGTTCTATTTCTATCCAAAGGACCTAGTTACTAAAGTACTAAAATAATCTATACAATTTCATTAACATAATTACAAAACTGTGGATCCTGATATTCATGCAAAAACAAGACTTCATTAACCCTCTAATACTTAAAAATTTTACTTAAACTGCTTACTGCCCTTGTTATTAATACTGTATTATATTTTCAATTAACAGTGTCAGGATGTATTGTGGAAAAAATTCTGAAATCCACTTAATACAGTAAAGTGTGGTGATTTAAAACTAGTAAGTTTTCCTGTTCTATGGACCTACAGAAAGTCATAGTTAGAAGTTAAATAGGCAGGGACTGTACCTTTCATTTCTTCTGGACCACTTTATATAGTGCCGTATTGTTCTGGGCATATAGTTAAATATAGCCCATCACCTTCACTTTAAAAGAAACTACTTAAAGGGCTGGGGATTTAGCTCAGTGGTTCCACCAGCTGCCTCGCAAGCAAAAGGTCCTGAGTTCGATCCCCGGTACCAAAAAAAAAAAACACTACTTAGAAGTTAAACCAACTGCTTCATTCCTTTGAAAAACCTTTTGGGGACAAGGAGAGGCAAGCTGCTGTTACTGATTTACTATGACTTTTTTAAAAACACTGAATGTGAGGGTTAAACTCCCAAACGAGGTGACTGACAGGCAACTCAACCTCTTCAGCCCAGTCTCACCCCTTTCATTTTAGAACAGGTAATGATCTCTAAGGCTCCTCCCAGTTCTAAAATTATGTGACACTAGGAACAATTTTACTTACTACCTTAAAGAATGTCTTCTATCCAGAGGTAAAGAACGGAGAAGGTAACTCAACCCTCGGGCACCACAGCCTTACTGACATTTTGTCTAAAGTTATCTTAAACATCTAGGGCATGCTTTTGAGTCATTTGGATACAGACTATTCACTCTGATCTAAACAATCTTAGTGACACACACTTGAAAACAAAGGGAGATAAACTCTCTTTACACAGAAGGGGAGAATTTTATTTGCAACATTTTAATATCAATTGATATGTCCTATTCCGTAGCCTTTAAATAAAATTATATGCACATACCCAATTATATGAAAAACAATGTGTTCAAGACAATATGAAATGTGCATGTACATAACTAACTCTATTAAAACAAATCGGTGATCCACATTGAAAATATAATTGCTATAATCTAGATAGGATACAATGAAATACAAGAAAATGGACGTTGGGGGAGAACTTGAACTAAACATTTTTCATACTATCTATAAAACTAAGGCTACTGGTAGAGGCAAATGAGAAAATGACCACAATACCAACTAAAATACAGAATGTAAGTATGCAGCTTGCACACAGCAAACTACGTAACAATGCCAACACTGGCTTTTTCTAGGTGGCACCACTGAGTGATACTGATTTGCTTTATACTACTCACTTTTCCAAATTTCTTCTTTGGGTACATTTTACAATCAGAAGGAACTTTCAAGCCTACATACTAAATAACTTAATTTGCCTATAAAACTTTTTATTTGTATAAAGTCCTAGAGGAAAAAACTAAAAAGATTCAGAAAAACAAATCATCTGAGGATTCTGTTTTACTAAGGGTTTTAGCAGGAGAAAAAAGACCAAGAGATTCTTCTTCCCCCAGAGTTTTATAAAAAAAAAAGTAAACTTTCTTTACAGAGAAACAAACTAAATAGGAAACACTGTAATTAAAACCCACTCTATATTCCTATGTAAAATATAAGATACAAAATAAAGGGCTATCAAATTCATTGGCACTTAAGAAATTTGTCACTCCACACTATCAAGTGATTCTCTTAATCACTAACTAGTCCAATTATTTAAATACAGTATGACCAAAAATTGCATAGCTTTGTTAATTTTTATACCAGGTAATATATGAATAATTTTATAAAATTTCTTCAATGTAAGAATCAACTGCTTGAAATGACAACCTGCCCCAGCGATACTTAGGATAGTGTGTAAATAAACACACTGCCTGAGTGACCCTCCTAATCATGTCCTTAACAAGCTAAAATGTATGTAACTAAACTTGTTCCTTTAAATCTGGATTTTGCAAACACTGTCAAACATTCAGGATAACTCTAGTTATAAAGGACATCCCAAATACCACAGAAAAGCAACTAAGAAGGCAATGCATAAGTCACCAAAAATAATGTCTACTGGACACCTATATAGTCACTGTGTTTAAAGGGAAGGCATCAACATCTTGACTGGTCCGTTACTGCCACATGTGTTGGTCTTCCTGTGAGGCCATCTCTACTTCCTTTGCCACTGAGACTACTTATATAGTCCTGCCTCAGTATTCTCACGAAGGACCCCACAGATACCAAAATCTGCAGATACTCAAGTACGTCATGTAAAATGCCAAAGTGTGTGCATGTAACCTATGCACATCCTACCCTATGCATTAAATCATGTCTAGCTTACAATATCAAATACAATGTAAATGCTATGTAAACTGTTACACTGTATTAAGGAATAATGACAACAAAAAAATCTGTATGTGGGCCAGGGATTTAGCTCAGTGGTTCCGCCACCTGCCTTGCAAGCAGAAGGACCCAAGTTTGATCCCCAGTATCAAAAAAAAAAAAAAACGATGGATAAACTTCCACATTAATGTAGGTATGACTTAGGTGATACAAGGTAGTTATAAATTAAGATTTACTTTCAGCTAGACCTTAATTTGTGAATTGTGATTGGATGTGTCAATCTAACAAGAGATTCTCCGAAGATTAATAAATTTATTTGGACATAGCATTCAATAGGAACAGTCTTGTCATATTTAAGGCTAAGGAAGGGGAAGTTTTAAAGGCAAAATAAGTAGAATGACATATTTTGAAACAATAACCATCAACTACAAGAATCAGTAACAAAAACAGCAGTAGTCCAAAGCTGGGATGGGCAGTTGCTGGGCAGATGCCCTCGCAGAATTGTTCTCTAAGGCTGCAGTGGCCTTTGCACAAGGTTGTGGTTCTGGCAATCTTGCTTGATAATTACTGTTGTCCCATGTTATTGGCATGAAATTCCCCTCCTCCAGAACCTCCTGCCTTGACTTACTCTTCTTTGGTTGGTGTAGGGTTTGACAAAAGTCACTCCATTTCGTTTCTGACAACTTTTACAGATGGTGATAAAGACTAATTTGTTTTTTATTTATCTTTACATACCTTCCTTTATGCCAAAAAAACATATTGTGTAAAAATGCTTACGTTATTAATGAGATACAAACACACCCACATACACCTAACAAATTTAACCTTAATCTCCCAAAAGAATCAAGTTAAATAACTAAATTAAGTTTTTTCTCTTATTATCGCACTACACATTCACTGCAGAAATCTTAACACACCCAGGCATGGTGGTGCATGCCTGTAATCTCAGCACTTCGGATGCTGGAGCAGGAAGATTGCCATGAATTGAAGGCCAGCCTAGAGTACACAATGAGTTCAAGGCCAGGCTGAACTACATTGCCAGACCCTGTCACAAAAAAAATTCTTCAAACACATAAAAAAGCAAAAATATGAAAACAATATACCCTGATCCCAAAATAGAGGTAAGATGCTAACATTCTTTTCTTTCTGACCTTTTTCTCCACATATTACCATGAATTGATCATACTTTATGCAAC